TGGAATGACTGGTCACTATGACACACACTGACCACCAGGGGGCAGATGCTCAATGCAGGAGCTGCCCCCTGGTGGTCAGTGCGCTCCCACAGGGGGAGATCTGCTCAGCCACAAGCCAGGCTGATGGCTGCCAGTACAGCGGTGGTGGTGAGAGCCTCTCCTGCTTTCTCAGCAACGCTAAGGATTTCCAACTGCAGCTTAGGCCTGCTCCCCGCCGACAACTGGATATCCCCCGAGGGCTGCTGGGCTGCCAGAAGGATGTCTGATTGCCATCTTAGGCCTGTTCCCCCGGGGAGTGGGCCTAAGCCAGCAGATGGTCATCCTCCGAGGGTCCCAGACTGTGAGAGGTCACAGGCAGGATAGGACAGGAGAACCCAGGACCTGGGGGTTCTTCCATCTCAGAGGGGCTGAGGGTCCTACGGGGGCCTCCTCTCCCCTAACAGAGGGACCCACAGGATCCATGGTTGATACTCCACATGGAGCTGCCCCAGATCCTGGGCCCTGTGGGGAGGCCTAGAGCAGATGACAGACAGGGACACAGATGACTTGGATGCAGTGCCCAGTGCTGTGATGGGGACACTCAGGGCATTCTCGGGATCAGTCCTTCTGGCTGGCACACTCTCCTATAAGCCTCAAGAGACCCCTACCAGGCCTTTCCTTGGAAATCTCAGGAATAAGGAGCTCCTCCTAAAACAGCATATTCCCCTCGGGAAAGTTCTCATGACACTGGATCCGGACTCCTCTGGACAACGCCTGTCCTCTCCCTGCACTCACCCTGCCCTGGGGTGAAGTCAGGCAGCCTGAGACCCACCGTGACTGGCCACTCAGCCTGGAGGTCAGAGCCCACCTCTCCCAGGCCTCAGGGTCAGCCCACAGCATCTAGAGCCTGGTCAGCATCCCTGGTGCTGTTCCTGACATTGGCTGCAGGTCTCCTTCATGACCTCCAGGTGGCAACATGGAGACATACAGACAGCACACCGGAAATGCACACATGAACCTGGCTTTGGCTAAGGAGGTGCAGAAGCAGCTGATTTCCATCCCCTGCTCCATTAGGCCCTTCTGGGCTCCTCCCTAGTCCCTGGCTCCTTCTAGGGGCCTTGGCGCACCTGCTCTCTCAGGGGTCTCAGTGCTGCTCCCCCACCCCATGCCTGGCACCACCCATGGGGAAGGCAGGGTGACCACAGGAAAGTCCCCAGGCAGAGGAGGGACAGAGTCGGCTCTGACCATCAGGGAGCACGTGGACAGGCCCTGAGCCACAGCTCAGCCAACAGGCACAGAGAGGGAGGGTCTCCTTGAACCTGAGGACCAGGGAGCCCACAGCCATCTGACCACCATGCACAGTCCTCACTTGAGAGGACACACAGGACACCTACACCTTCACCCCGGGAACTTCAGGTCCTTCTGAGACACCTGGTCCTGGTCTCTGTGCGGGAAGCAAGGGCCAGGTGGGTGACAGCTGGAGATAGAGAGGGGCTCCCTCCCAGTCATCATTCAGCTGACCCCTTTCTCACCCCAGAGTCGCCTCTGTGGCCTTCCAGCTGGGAGGAAATCCAACCTTCCCAGTGCATTTGAGAACACAGGGAAGACCCAGATAGGTTTCTGTGTCAAAAATGGAGTAATCCCCAGGGTTGGGGACGCCTAGAGCTGTCTGTGTTGGTGACAGACCCAAGACCTCTCCACAGCCGAGGCCAAGGTTGTGTGCAGAGTCTCAGGTCCACCGCACACCTGCCCAGTCAGAATCTGCATTTGAACAGGATCTGGAGACCCTCTCTGTGCACAGGAGAGGGGGAGCGGCTGCCCCACCCACACAGCATGGGTCTCAGCCTGGCGGGCATCCACCTTAGCTGGGCAGCTGCTGAAGCAGCGTTTCTATGGTGCCACCTGGGCATTGCAATCGTTACCAAGTTCCACAGGTGATTCTCACGCATGACGGGA